ACTTCCAGAGGATGTCCTCCAACTTATCAGAGCTCTTGCAGCATGAACTGACATGTTATCCACCCAATCAAAGGATCAGATAATGAATCTAGTACTGAAAGCATAAGCTACAGCTAGCTAGCACTGCATTGCATAAAATGTGGTGAGTAGTTGACTCAAAGAGAGAGAAAGAAAATAGTTGAACAGTTTTGAAGGAATTAATTTCTTCCTAAATGAAGGAGAAGCAAGAGAGAAATAGAGAGAGAGTCATTTTTTTTTCACTTTCAGTTTCACTTACTTAGCTAGCAAATGCAGCTAGCTAATTTAGCCTACTGAAACACCCTGCTCAAACAGAGGGATGCTATGTTAGCTAGCTGGCTATTACTATCCAACACAACACTGGAACTCTTCCAAGTCAAGGTAAGCTTTTGGTTTTACTAATATATTGCCACTGGGGCCCGCCAGTGTAACTGCTTACTGACTGTACACTGTAATGTTACTGCATGATTGTAGCGGGTTTACTAACGCGTTAATTACATTAGCTATGCTGACTATGACGTTACTTTACCTAATATGGTGACAACGATGTAGGCTGTGTGTAGCGGTTTGGCTTGGAATGTGTGCTCTTGCAGGAGATGGACGAGGCTGTAAAAGCGTTCTCTAAACATGAGGAGCACTTATTGTCGGACAGCGTCTTCGTGGTGATGATGTCTCATGGGGAGCCATCATGGGTGTCCATTACCAGTAGCGGTGCGTGGGTAAAGTCACTGGGGAAACCAAGCCAGGGAAGAAAAGCCATATTACAACCTATGTGTTGTGATAATTACATTGTTTGCTCTATAACCTGTTAGTTCATATGCCTTGACACCATGATATATAGGCCTAAGGCCAAGACAATAAGAAGACAGAATACATTCAACCACACCTTTGTTTCATCACAAAACCGGAGAGCAACATCTGTCCGGTGGAGTCAACAAAGCACATTGCATGTAACAAACAGTTACATGACCTACAGCATGGTCAATCAAGTTAATGTTTCTGACATTTTCAGACTACTAAACAACTAGTGATTTAGGACACCGGAGAGTTACCGCAGGTCCCAAAGAAAACAGGAGCTGCCTCCACTACTCCAGCACCATTTCAACTTCAATATTTCAACATCATCAAATCACCTATGCTTAGTCTAATACAGTGAAACCTAAAAGATTCCAAAAACAATTTAGTCTGATCAACGTGTGTGTGTGTGCACCTAAGTAAAAAAACATGTTGACTCACCCTACTTGTAGAGAAACGCCAATGCCATCCTCCTCTCTTTCATGTTGCTGAAACGGTCTATGACTCTGTCATAACAGTAGGCTACCTGGCTAAAATGCTCGCTAGCTAGCATAACTGCCTTGGGCAACGATTAGCCAGCTTGTTAACATTAGCCTACTACATCTAGCTACATATTCAACTTCCATTCTCTCAGGCCAGGTGCACAATGTATGAATTTACGGTTGGATCAGAATCGCCATTATATTCATTGGCAAGTACGGAGAATTAAGTAAAACCACAAGTCCAAATCCCTATCTCCATCCATGGCTAATTTTGGAAGGGCCCATTTGAAGTCTGTAGATAGGTTTCCATCCAATTTGCAACACATTTTATGCAAATATTTTAAGATCTGCATAAAACAATATGCACTATTTTCCCACGAGGGATGTGTTTCCATCAAACAGACTTTTTGCGGATAAACGTAGTGTGATGACGTAGTGCACATAAAAATAACTTTTGCGGTTACATTTCCATGTTATATAGCAAATGTGCCCACTCTGGTCTTGGCATGAGCGCTCTAGCCAACATGTCGCAGATACAGTGCGGGTAGGTTACCACATCATGAGGTTATTATGGATAAGAGCGATATTATTTGAATTTCTCAAACGGCAGCCAAGCATCGATCATTATGTCACCAGAATAAGACCCTCAATATTTATTGGGAAGGAGCATCAAGCTCATCACCTTGCACATTCACCACCCTGTGAAGTTCATCATAACTTATTTAATCTGTAGTCTAATAAACTGTATGCTTTCCCGAGTCTTAGTGGGAGGACCACACAACATATCATCACGTGACTCCAAGTTTACTTCGATTTGAAGGTTATTATATCCATATTTGCGCACAAAGGTGCTTCCACCGCAATTTCTCACATAATTAATTTTACTGACACAAAAGGATCCTACCATGTCAAACGAACAAATTGTCTGTCGGCAGTTATACAATTGTACCGGCATTTCATATTTCCATCAGCCTGGTCGTCACTTTTTTAATGCGTCAGGTAATTCATCCGCATGAAATGGTTGGATGGAAACCTTGTTAATGACGTTTAGCTTTTGATGTGATTGGTGTGAAGCAAATCCAAGCTGGCTTCCCTTGACACTTTTTTTCTGGTGCGCCAGGACCATTCACAGTTGAGCTCACTCAGTTTATCTCAATGCTGATTGGCTATTATTATTTTGATATCAAGGGAGGACAAATGCTCATTGGCTTCCCTCGCATTCAATGCTATGGGCGCCAACAATATCACACTATTTTTGACCCGACAGCATCAGATATTTGGGCTACACATACGGAGACAGAGGGGCGCTCGGATGCTTTCTCCAATGAGATAAATTCAGTTTCTTGACAATTGAAGGAAAATTACGAAACACAGAGAGACAAATGATTATAAAATGTATTTATTTTTTGTTAATTTCTTGCTCTTTTTTAGGGGGGAAGCCTGGCTTCCCTTGGCATCCATGAATACACGCCACTTTCCAATACAAGTTAGAGTATCCTAAACCTGACGTCTTCCCCATCAACATCTTCACACACCTGAACACAGAGAACGGCAAAGCCCTGATTAGCAAACTCAATATCATCCTCATTCAGGTCTGCATGGGAGGTGAGTGAGCTCAAAAGTGTGTTTCCAAAATGTATTTAAACCTTTTGTACTGGCTTTAATTTGAGTAGAATGCCTCAATATTAAAGAGGATTTGCATGTTGTTTCAGGCAAGGATGGGTCTGTTTGGGTCAGTGACGTAGTGCCTGGCCCCAGTCCTGACCTGGGGTTAGAGAGTGACTCAATCAGCAGGGAGCACAAAAAGGACTTCATCTCCCTTCTGTCCTGCACACCAGGTTAGTGGGTCATATTAACACATTCTCAAGCAATATATTGTTTGTAAATGACTGTGAGTAAACCCTCATTATATTCCCACCCCCTTCAGATAATGTATCCTACAGAAATAAACAGATGTGCACCTTTTTTGTCCGGCGCATCATGGAGACATTCAACACCTATGCCTGTATTTTTAATTATTACTGATCCCCATTAGCTGCTGCCAAGGAAGCAGGGCTCCAAACAAGATTATGACAATTACATACAAAATAAAACAGTACATCACACAACACATTACTACACATTACTCTACCACAACATATCTACAGTACAAAATCTGTAATACAGCAATATAACAATATTACAATGTACTTGTGTGTACAGTGAGTGTGTTAGCATGTGTGTGCGTATGCGTGTGTGCCTGTGTGTGTCTCCCCACAGTTCGCGCTGTTCCATAAGGTGTAGTTTTATCTGTTTCTTAAATCTAATTTTACTTCTTGCATGAGTTACTTGATGTGGAATAGAGCTCCATATAATCATGGCTCTATGTAGTACTGTGTATTCCCCAGAGTCTGTTCTGGACTTGGGGACTGTGAAGAGAACCCTGGTGCCATGTCTTGTGGGGTATGCATGGGTGTCTGAGCTGTGTGCTAGTCATTTGAACAGACAGCTCGGTGTGTTTAACATGTCAATAGCTCTCACAAAGACAAGTAGTGATGCCGTCAATCTTTCCTCTACTTTGAGCCAGGAGAGACTGACATGCATGTTATTGATGTTAGCTCTCAGTGTCATGAATCCCGCTTCCTGAGTCTGTTTCTGCCTGAGTTGCCTGTTTTCTGTCCTGGATATCTTCTGTCCTGGAATTGCCTTCCAAATTGTTCATGAATATCAATTTATTTTGAGAGATACCATGAGGAAGAGGCCTGGTTATAAGCACATAGGTTATTGAGTTGTGATAATGTATCTCACAAAAAAATATATATATTTACAGTACTGTAACCACAAGCGTTATTGAATCCTTTATTTTCTGAGAGTATTAAGATTAAAGCACCCAGTGAAGGACCATATGTATTGAAAGAGTAGCTTTGCATATTTTTTTTTTCATTAGAAAATGTTTAAATGCATACGAAGTCACATAATTATGCTATCAATTACACCCTATTCACTTGATAGTGCACTACTTTGGCTCTGGTCAGGATGCCATTTGGGTCACATCAAAGCATTTTCCTGCTCAGGAAGTGTGCTAAAATTACTCTATTCTTTGAATATTTGTAAATCACTTCCCAGAAGAGGGTGGTAGATATCAAGAAATTAGCGGCTATTTAACCTTGCAACATGAATAATATTTCCATATCTGCCTACAGTACATTTTGTATTTTGGGTATTTCCTATCTGCTTAAAGGTACACTCGGCAATATGACATGATCATACATAGTGGGTAACTTCCTGCTCACATACATTAACACAACAGAATTCAAGACTTCTATTGATTGTACAGATTTGTGCCTTGTGCCTTCCTTGAGGAATGCCCACACTGTGAATAGCCAAGTGTGGCAGTTTCAGCAGGTTTTACTTTTATTTTTGATAATAGGAAGTCTCCCTATTGTGTAAGATCATCTAACTAAACTCTCATATCAATGATTTTATGTGTATTACACATTCTAAAAACTGCCCTTTGAATCCGCTGGAGGTTAGGTCCATACATGATCGCTTTTAAGACAGGTGGTTAAAATAACAAGGAATTGTACAGCCATTGCATTACGCATATTTAGAGTAATATTAACATTACTATTCCACCCTAGCAAAATGTCAAACAGGGTCACTGAGATGAAAATAACCATTGTCAATAAATGTGGCACACATGTCTGAGTGAACTTAATCCTTCCCTCAGCTGACTTTACATAAGCCCTTACAATCTGACAGTAAGAAAAGACAATGAAAAGTACCTGTAAAACATGAACCACTATTAAACATGGACTCCAAATCCAATTGATGGTAATGGGTAAACATGAATGCTTCAGTATACAGTGAGGGAAAAAAGTATTTGATCCCCTGCTGATTTTGTACGTTTGCCCACTGACAAAGACATGATCAGTCTATAATTTTAATGTTAGGTTTATTTGAACAGTGAAAGACAGAATAACATCAAAAAAAGAGGGAAATAAGTATTTGACCCCTCTGCCAAACATGACTTAGTACTTGGTGGCATAACCCTTGTTGGCAATCACAGTGGTCAGACGTTTCTTGTAGTTGGCCACCAGGTTTGCACACATCTCAGGAGGGATTTTGTCCCACTCCTCTTTGCAGATCTTCTCCAAGTCATTAAGGTTTCGAGGCTGACGTTTGGCAACTCGAACCTTCAGCTCCCTCCACAGATTTTCTATTGGATTAAGGTCTGGAGACTGGCTAGGCCACTCCAGGACCTTAATGTGCTTCTTCTTGAGCCACTCCTTTGTTGCCTTGGCCATGTGTTTTGGTTCATTGTCATGCTGGAATACCCATCCACGACCCATTTACAATGCCCTGGCTGAGGGAAGGAGGTTCTCACCCAAGATTTGACGGTACATGGCCCCGTCCATCGTCCCTTTGATGCGGTGAAGTTGTCCTGTCCCCTTAGCAGAAAAACACCCCCAAAGCATAATGTTTCCACCTCCATGTTTGACGGTGGGGATGGTGTTCTTGGGGTCATAGGCAGCATTCCTCCTCCTCCAAACACAGCGAGTTGAGTTGATGCTAAAGAGCTCGATTTTGGTCTCATCTGACCACAACACTTTCACCCAGTTCTCCTCTGAATCATTCAGATGTTCATTGGCAAACTTCAGACGGCCCTGTATATGTGCTTTCTTGAGCAGGGGGACCTTGCGGGCGCTGCAGGATTTCAGTCCTTCACGGCGTAGTGTGTTACCAATAGTTTTCTTGGTGACTATGGTCCCAGCTGCCTTGAGATCATTGACAAGATCCTCCCGTGTAGTTCTGGACTGATTCCTCACCGTTCTCATGATCATTGCAACTCCACGAGGTGAGATCTTGCATGGAGCCCCAGGCCGAGGGAGATTGACAGTTCTTTTGTGTTTTTTCCATTTGCGAATAATCGCACCAACTGTTGTCACCTTCTCACCAAGCTGCTTGGCAATGGTATTGTAGCCCATTCCAGCCTTGTGTAGGTCTACAATCTTGTCCCTGACATCCTTGGAGAGCTCTTTGGTCTTGGCCATGGTGGAGAGTTTGGAATCTGATTGATTGATTGCTTCTGTGGACAGGTGTCATTTATACAGGTAACAAGCTGAGATTAGGAGCACTTCCCTTTAAGAGCCAGAAATCTTTCTGATTTAGAGAGGGTCAAATACTTATTTCCCTCATTTCTGGATTTTGTTGTTGTTATTCTGTCTCTCACTGTTCAAATAAACCTACCATTAAATTATAGACTGATCATTTCTTTGTCAGTGGGCAAACGTACAATATCAGCAGGGGATCAAATACTTTTTTCCCTCACTGTAGAAGGATTGTCACAGAATATTTTATCAATGTGAGATCCACAGAAAGGAATTCTGACTGTTAAACTAAGTATTATGAGTGCTATAAATAAAGGATAACACCTAGAAAGAAGAGTAACTTTCTAACAGTTAAAGATGTCACAATGGTATGGTATAGTAATGGTCTGCATATTGCCACGTACCTGTCGTAAGACATCACTGTTAGAATAGTAATTTTACACATGACAGATGTGTATATTATATAGGCTTGAATCAAACATCCACCATAAGATATCACCTGAACATCTGACTGAAGGTCCAGTAAGAACTTGGGGTAGAAACCAACGGTTCCGTACAATCCATTGACACACTGTAAATTACAATGAAATATATCAATGTGCTCATGGCGGCCTTTGAATGATTTTAATGATCAGAGTCAGATTCACAGTAATATTGAATAGGTATGTGATGAGAGGCACGATGAAATAGACTGAGATGTTGTATGCCAAAGAGTTAAAATAACTTGACTTGGGTTGAGTTCTCTGTAGCCTTTGTTAATTTTCTTTCTGTGGTCAAGGCAGCAATTCCTAGGTCTTACAAGGCTTGAGTGTGTATGGCTGTGAATGAACGCGAATTATTTGATTATGTGTTAGCTCGGACTAAACACAATATTTTTAACAAAAATAATTCACATCCCCCTCAATCTTTTTCTTAAAAAAAACATCCCGATAATATATGTACATTATAAGACTTCTGAGGTTTGAAAGTAATAAAGATACGTGAGAGTTTTGGGAACTGTCACGCCCTGAGTCTGGGGACTCTTATTTGTTGAGTCAGGGTGTGATTTTCTATGTGGTGTAGATCTATGTTTATAGTCTAGTATGTCTAGATCTATGTTGGCTGGTGTGGTTCCCAATCAGAGGCAGCTGTCGCTCGTTGTCTCTGATTGGGGACCATACTTAGGCAGCCTATTGGCACTAGTGGGTTGTTGGGATCTTGTTCCGTGTGAGGTATGTTGTTTGTGTACCTTGGACTTCAGACTTCGTTTAGTTTGTTGTTTTGTCGTTGTTTATTCGTTTCAAATAAACATGTATGCATATCACGCTGCGCCTTAGTCCGTCCCGTCTATGAACGAACGTGACAGGAACACCATATTTAATTGGTGAATTATGATCAGATGCGTAATATAATACAAAACATTCTCAGTGACAATACATGATAAACTTCATGCAATTTCTTAAATAATATTTGGGCTACAGAGAAATTATGCAAAAATCCTACATATCTGTATAGTCAATTATAGCATCGATTACAAAAAAAACCTAAAAGAAAACATCTGTATATGTCGTAGGTTAAAGGCATAGTATCTTTTTACAAGCCTGCCTGATGTCAAATATAATAGGATAAAAAAATGGTGGACATAGTAGAAAATAAACAAATACAATAGTGTGAAGTATAGGTGGAAGATGTGCAGTTTCATATCTGCCTTGTAGAATAACAAACTAGCCAAAGGAGAAGATCAGCAAAGAGGCTATATGTGGTGTACAAGTGTTAAATGCTTTCTGTTTCGTCTCTTTCGAAGACTTTAAACATATTTGTAGAAATTGACATGAGTATATGGTAGGAAATAAAGTACAAGAAAAAGAAAGCAAAGTGGCAACAACACCCCATATGTTATTCAGCGTAATATTTGAACATGCAAGCTTGACTGCGGAGTAGTTGACACAATACACTCTGTTTTGCATGTTATTTTTGCATTAATACTGTCACGCCCTGACTCAGAGGACGCTTATATGTTGAGTCAGGGTGTGTATATTCCATGTTGTGATTTTCTATGTTGGTGATCTAGGTTTTCTAGATCTATGTTGGACTGCACACTGGTGGAGCGGATTGCTCTAGCTCCGGCGTGAAGCAGCTGACCGGTGCCGGGACCAGGCACCGGAGGAACAGGCGACGTGCACCATTGGCCTGGTGCGGGGAGCAGGAACGGGCCGGGCCGGGCTGGCGACGCGCACCATAGGCTTGGTGCGGGGGGCAGGAGCGGGCCGGACCGGGCTGGCGACGCGCACCATTGGCCTGGTGCGGGGAGCAGGAACAGGCCGGGCCGGGCTGGCGACGCGCACCATAGGCTTGGTGCGGGGAGCAGGAACAGGCCGGGCCGAGCTGGCGACGCGCACCATTGGCTTGGTGCGGGGAGCAGGAACAGGACGGGCCGGGCTGGCGACGCGCACCATTGGCTTGGTGCGGGGAGCAGGAACAGACCGGACCGTACTGGGGACACACACCACTGGCCCTACGCAAGGATCTGGAACGGGCCGGACCGGACTGGTAACACACCCCAGTACCTCTCGCCGTGCCTCTACACCTTCCTTCCCCTCTTTGACCAGTGGCCCCCGTAACCTGGCGGCCTCCTCTGCCAACTCGCTGGGCCGCTCTATCGCGGTCTCCTGCTGCCCCGTCGTCCACGGCGTTAGCCCCCCCCTAAAAAATGTCTGGGCTTCTCTCCTACCTGTGGACCAGGTCTCCATACTTCTCGCCAGCCTTTCGCCCTTCTGCTTCCACGTCAAGCCCCTCTCTTGCTCACCCGGCTTGACCCAGTCGAGGAGGCGCTGGATATCCGCCAGAGATTTCCCTGGCGATGGTTCCTGGACCCGCTGCTTGGTCCAGTTCTGGTGGGATCTTCTGTCACGATCGTCGGGAACAGAGGAGGACCAAGGCGCAGCGTTGAAGGCAAACATACTCTTTATTAGTGAATAACCGAACAAAACAACAAAAACGATAACGTGACGTCCACGGTCTAAACACAAACCACACTGGAACAAGGTCCCACAACCACTGTGGGAAAACAACCTGTCTAAATATGGTTCCCAATCAGAGACAACCAGCAACAGCTGACACTCGTTGCCTCTGATTGGGAACCACTCTGGCCAACCTAGAAATACAACTACTAGAAAAACAAATGAAACTCACACCCTGGCTCAACATACAAGTGTCCCCAGAGCCAGGGCGTGACAGGACTTCACGTTTCGTTTCATTTGTTGTTTTGTCGGTTGTTTATTCATATAAATAAACATGTATGCATATCACGCTGCGCCTTGGTCCGTCCCGTCTATAAACGAACGTGACAGAAGATCCCACCAAACGAGGACCAAGCAGCATGCCCAGGAAGAGCGAATAGCCATGTCACAGGTGGGTAAATTGTGGTCATGGGAAGAGATTTTCGTGGGGAAATGGCCATGGGCAAAGTTAGATGCCCAGGCAGGAGAGGAGCAACGGCAACACGGAAGCCGGCCGAGGAGGAGGCCCGAGAAGTAGCCCCAAGAAAAATTTTGAGGGGGGATAAAGGGGTGGTCGGGGAGCGATAGAGAAGAGCCCCGACCACTGCACCCGGTTGGGTTTCAGATTGGGTCCCTACGACCTTGGGAAGAGGAGTGGGAACAGTATTTCACTGAGGAGTCGGAGGATGACGATGACGACGAGTGTCTGTTCCCTAACTCGTGGGGGCTCCCGGAGGAGTCCTCACAGGAAGAGGAGTGCCGACGACGGAGACCCGAGAGGCAACCCCAAGAATATTTTTTTGGGGGGGGCACACGGTGTGGACGACGAGGCAGCAGGAGGCAGCGACAGGGCGGATCTGCAGGTTAGGAGAGGAGGCCACCATGTTACGGGGGCTATTGGTTCAGAGGGAGCAGGAGTTATTCGGTCAGAGGGAGGAGATACAGGAGGCTAAAAGGGAGAAGGAAGGTGTAGAGGCACGGCGAGAGGAGCTGGTTAGGCAGCAGAAGGATTAATAAAGGAACCCAGTCCCGCTCCTCGCACCAAGCAAGTGGTGTGTGTCGCCAGTCCGGTCCTGCCCATTCCTGCTCCCCGCACTAAGCCAGTGGTGCGTGTTCCCAGTATGGCCCGACCCATTCCAGTCCCTCGCACCAAGCCAGTGGTGTGTGTTCCCAGTACGGTCCGGCCCGTTCCTGCTCCTCGCATCAAGCCAGTGGTGCTCGTCGCCAGCCCGGTCCGGCCTGTTCCTGTCCCTCGCACCAAGCCAGTGGTGTGCGTCGCCAGCCCGGTCCAGCCTGTTCCTGTCCCTCGCACCAAGCCAGTGGTGCGCGTCGCCAGCCCGGTCCGGCCTGTTCCTGTCCCTCGCACCAAGCCAGTGGTGCGCGTCGCCAGCCCCGTCCGGCCTGTTCCTGTCCCTCGCACCAAGCCAGCTGTCGCTCGTTTTCTCTGATTGGGGACCATACTTAGGCAGCCTATTGGCACTAGTGGGTTGTGGGATCTTGTTCCGTGTGAGGTATGTTGTTTGTCTACCTTGGACTTCACGTTTCGTTTCATTTGTTGTTTTGTCGGTTGTGTTTCATATAAATGCATATCACGCTGCGCCTTGGTCCGTCCCGTCTATAAACGAACGTGACAAATACGTGTCACATATCAGTTTTCAAACAAAAAAAAAAAAAATCATTGGGGACACTACGTCACCGCCAAATCTCAGGGTAGAGCTCGAAAATTCAAGCCCCTTGGGTGCTGACATAGAGTAACATTAGAAGTGCCCATCCAAGAAGTCTCAAGGTCATTGGCCACAGATAAATTCACGTCAAATCACGTTATATCTACAGTAGCTTTGATTGGACTGATCATGTCAACATCATACTTTCAAAATCTTAGCTAGCAGTCATCATCATGAATCAAGTGGACAATCTACTGGCAAATATTTTTTAATACTTGTCATATGAAGAGAAATAATGAAGAGAAATTATAAATAAAACTTATTGGTGCTCATGGGCCATTGGACATAAACGTTACACAAGTTGGAAATGGCAAATTCAACCATGAGTGGTTTGGAAGGAATCAGTGACTAACTGCAAGCATTGCAAAGAAATCACTAGCCTGCTATTCAGTGGAGTGGCTTTGTGGTCCCAAGTCTGGGTTTATGGGTCTCTTTTCCAAGCTTATAATGTTAAACATTCAACATTGGCCATTCTGTCAATCCAGCATGATTTCTGCTGTGCTCATAACAACTGTTTACTCGAAACTGGGAAATCTTACTAAAGTGAGTTTGAGACAACTGTGAACTCGGGGAAAAAACAAGCTACGACTGGGAAAATATGTTTTGAACGGTCATCCAACTTGGAATTGTAAGTCGGGAACTCGGGCCTCTTTCCAGAGCTACGACCTGAAGATCCCTGACGTTATCATGATTCAACCTTGTTTTTTTCAGAGTTCTCAGTTGTCTTGAAAGCACCATAAATCCAGAGAATGCCAGACTTTGACGACAAAGTTTGATGACAAAATGTTCCTGCGAAGGACCGCCGCGCCACCTTCCTGTTCAAGTGAGCGCAGCACAACAAGGTGAGTCCACAAATGTCTTGTATGCTGCTGCATAAATTATGTAATATGCCATGGAGATATGTATACTGTAGCTAAGAAAGTAATACTAAGTGTATGTTATGTAGTAAGCTGTTAGTAAGCCATGTGCCTCACCCTAATAATTTGGTCTATTTTCTCCTCTTAATTTCGCCTACTGTTCTGACTTGGTGGTGCACAAGTAGCCTATAACCTGTTTTAGAGATATTATAATCATCGAATATTGTAAAAGCTTTCGTTGTCTGCTTATATGCCCCCATTATTTATCCTACGGTTCTGACTTGGTGTACAGGGAGAACACTGTAAGAATGGCCCATGTTCTGAATTATGTCGCTGTACATTTCAAAAGTGCTGAACAAATAGCTATATTGACTACGTCCATCCTAGCTCGCTCATTAATGTCTTAATCGAAATTACGGATTGCCTCTTATCCGATTGTCGTCCCCTTATGCGCTATCGTTTGTACATCTCAATTGTCAGTAGAAGCCACATTTGTTTAAGCAAGTCAGCCATATTAGCTATGTTTTTTTTAAAGGCAGTAAATTAGGCTGAATTAACTGTTTCACTTTCCTGGCATGCAGCCCCCCACAAAAAATGTGTTTGCCCCACCAATATTTACCTGCTAAAATTGCCAATGCAACTGAATAACAGATACAGTAGGGAGAACAAGTATTTGATATACTGCCGATTTTGCAGGTTTTCCTACTTACAAAGCATGTAGAGGTCTGTAATTTTTTATCATAGGTACACTTCAACTGTGAGAGACGGAATCTAAAACTAAAATCCAGAAAATCACTTTGTATGATTAAGTAATTAATTTGCATTTTATTGCATTACATAAGTATTTGATCACCTACCAACCAGTAAGAATTCCGGCTCTCACAGACCTGTTAGTTTTTCTTTAAGAAGCCCTCCTGTTCTCCACTCATTACCTGTATTAACTGCACCTGTTTGAACTCGTTACCTGTATAAAAGACACCTGTCCACACACTCAATCAAACAGACTCAAACCTCTCCACAATGGCCAAGACCAGAGAGCTGTGTAAGGACATCAGGGATAAAATTGTAGACCTGCACAAGGCTGGGATGGGCTACAGGACAATAGGCAAGCAGCTTGGTGAGAAGGCAACAACTGTTGGCGCAATTATTAGAAAATGGAAGAAGTTCAAGATGACGGTCAATCACCCTCGGTCTGGGGCTCCATGCAAGATCTCACCTCATGGGGCATCAATGATCATGAGGAAGGTGAGGGATCAGCCCAGAACTACACGGCAGGACCTGGTCAATGACCTGAAGAGAGCTGGGACCACAGTCTCAAAGAAAACCATTAGTAACACACTACGCCGTCATGGATTAAAATCCTGCAGCGCACGCAAGGTCCCCCTGCTCAAGCCAGCGCATGTCCAGGCCCGTCTGAAGTTTGCCAATGACCATCTGGATGATCCAGAGGAGGAATGGGAGAAGGTCATGTGGTCTGATAAGACAAAAATATAGCTTTTTGGTCTAAACTCCACTCGCCGTGTTTGGAGGAAGAAGAAGGATGAGTACAACCCCAAGAACACCATCCCAACCGTGAAGCATGGAGGTGGAAACATCATACTTTGGGGATGCTTTTCTGCAAAGGAGACAGGACGACTGCACCGTATTGAGGGGAGGATGGATGGGGCCATGTATCGCGAGATCTTGGCCAACAACCTCCTTCCCTCAGTAAGAGCATTGAAGATGGGTCGTGGCTGGGTCTTCCAGCATGACAACGACCCAAAACACACAGCCAGGGCAACTAAGGAGTGGCTCCGTAAGAAGCATCTCAAGGTCCTGGAGTGGCCTAGCCAGTCTCCAGACCTGAACCCAATAGAAAATCTTTGGAGGGAGCTGAAAGTCCATATTGCCCAGCGACAGCCCCGAAACCTGAAGGATCTGGAGAAGGTCTGTATGGAGGAGTGGGCCAAAATCACTGCTGCAGTGTGTGCAAATCTGGTCAAGACCTACAGGAATCTTATGATCTCTGTAATTGCAAACAAAGGTTTCTGTACCAAATATTAAGTTCTGCTTTTCTGATGTATCAAATACTTTTGTCATGCAATAAAATGCAAATGAAATACTTAAAAATCATACAATGTGATTTCTGGATTTTTGTTTTAGATTTCGTCTCTCACAGTTGAAGTGTACCTATGATAAAAATTACAGACCTCTACATGATTTGTAAGTAGGAAAACCTGCAAAATCGGCAGTGTATCAAATACTTGTTCTCCCCACTGTATATGGATTCATGAAGGCTTCTTTCAATGCAGATAACTCCAATAAGCAAAGCATTGGCAAGAATGATGACAAAATATAATACAGTTACTACAGCAATGTAGAAATACTTCATTTGTCCGATATCCCCGTATGCAGAAAGCCTAACGATCGTGAAGTGAGTAGAGTTCTCCATGGTCCTGGGAGTTGGTGAAGATGTGCTGTCAATAGTTGAAGAAGAGTAGACAATCCTCTATAGTACTGTAGCTTAAATTTAAGTTAAAACAATCAAATCACAAAGAACAGACAACCTAAATTGATAATTACTTTACCTGTTCTTGTTACAGTGATAGATTTGCCCACATCTATACTCAACAATATAGATGGCTTTTCCTATTGTCCCGATAACATAATTCATAGCCTAGATCAAACAATATTATACTTTGTATCCTGCACTCATATTATTTATTAAATTCAAAGTATGCTAAATTTAAAATGTAGACCGACCATTTCTAATCCATGATGAACTGCCTAAACTAAGCTCCTCACTATTTTCTTATACTTGTGAGATTTAAAAAAAGTGCTTGCCATGGTGTGATATGCAAATGGTCACCAATACCTGGGGAAAATTTTATATTTTCAGTGTCAAGGAAACCATATAGAGAAAAACAGATTCCATTTTGTAACACAGGCCCTTCAAGGCCTTTCTTAAATTCTATAGAAACTACAGTAATTCATAGAGAATTGTAGATTAAACAGGGCATGTCTTGTTGATGTGAAATGGCTAGCTAGTTGGCGGTGCACGCTAGCATTCAATCGGTCACATCACTCTCTCTGAGACCAATAATTAATTGTTCCTCTTGCTCTGCAAGGGCTGTGGCTTTTGTGGTAACGATGCTTCATGGGTGATGGTTGTTGATGTGTTCAGAGGGTCTCTGGTTGAAGCCCAGGTTGGGGCAAGGCGGGGGATGGATGCAAAGCTGTAACAGTACAAATGGTCAGAGGGACATTCTTAAATAAAGAGAGTAGTTTGGTAGGATAGCGCAGCACATCAGAAGAATACACATATTTAATGTTATGTTATTGAACAGGCTGTGTGAGTGGCTTTAGATCCTGTTAAAACAATGTATGTGTGGGGACCCTCTAGTCTGGTATTCTACAATGTAGAAGAAGTATGCGACATCACCAATGGGCTGGGCAAGCAATGCTATCAGCTCTTTCATTAACCGTTAAGCAGGAGTTTGGGTGCTATGTAGTTAAGTGAAACCAATCCAAAACCTCTGACAAAGGGACAGTTGCCTGGACCCAGATTAAGTCTACTCCTGGAGTAAAACACACTGTCAATGGAGATTCTCTTTTTTATCCTAGGACCAGTCTTCATCTGGGACCTGTAATCCGTCCCTTAGTCTTGTTACCGACCACTGTAGGCAGGTATCTGGGTACTGTTGAGGGGCTACCTTGATGGCTTCATTCTGAATGAGGATGCAACACAACAGTCTGAGGAGAGGTCATCGTTGGTAGCCTGGCCCCAGATCTGTTTGTGCTATCATTCTAACTCCTTGTCATGGAATAATAGCACAAACATACTGGTACCCAGGCTACATAGTTAGGGCACTGTAGTTTTTCCTACAGAGAATCACTCAGGAGCCTTAGTCCTAGCTATAGTCTAAAACCTAGGCCCAGAGCTTTTCCTGCTCAGGTAAAAGTGAGGACCCTTATTATCACTCTGGGCCTACAGTAAACTTTCAGGAACTAACTCCCAGAGGGGATGACAGAAGGTGTGCGTCCCAAATGGCACCCTACAGCTTTTTTTTCATACTTTTACAGGATGGATGGAATACATTGACCAATGTGTCTTATAAATACATCATGACCCTTACTGGATTATTTGGGTCAAACAAATCTCACTCACAGTGACCATGGACAAACAAGATGCCTTAACTCAAGAAAGGTAGCTGTCAGATAGCTGGCACACAGATATCATGTTACATTGAACAGTGGGCCCTCAGAAAACATGACATGCATCCAGATTCTAGACAGATTGTGGGAGTTGTTTTGCCAGACTTCATTGCGGCTTTTGACATTATCAATCATAGCATGGTGCTGGAAAAACTTTACACCCCTTGCTATATTGTGGATTGAGAGTTAACTGTCTAACAGAACACAAAGGGTGTTCTTTAATTTTAGCCTCTCCAACATAATCCAGGTAGAATCAGGCATTCCCCAGGGAAGCTGTGTCGGCCCCTTACTTTTTTCAAACTTTACTAACTCTGAGTAAAGCCTGTGTGTCTGTGTATGTGGATGACTCAACACTATACACGTCAGCTACTACAGTGAGTGAAGTCACTACAACACTTAACAAAGAGCTGCAGTCGGTTTCAGAATGGGTGGCAGAAATATTAGTCCTAAATATTTCAAAAACTAAAATAATTGTATTTGGGACAAATCATTAACTGAACCCTAAACCTCAACTAAATCTTGTAATGAATAATGTGGAAATTGAGCAAGTTGAGGAGACTAAACTGCTTGGAGTAACCCTGGATTGTAAACTGTTATGGTCAAAACATATTGATGCAACAGTAGCTAAGATCAGGAGAGGTCTGTCCATAATAAAGCGCTGCTCTGCCTTCTTAACAACAATATCAACAAGGCAGGTCCTACAGGCCCTAGTTTTGTTGCACCTGGACTACTGACCAGCCGTGTGGTCAGGTGCCACAAAGAGGGACTTGGGAAATGTACAACTGGCCCAGAACACGACAGCACGGCTGGCCCTTAAATGTACATGTAGAGCTAACATTAATAATTTGCATGTAAAGGAGAGATTAACTTCATCACTACTTGCCTTTCTAAGAAGTATTGACATGTTGAATGAACCGAACTGTCTGTTTAAACTACACTGCTCAAAAAAATTAAGGGAACACTTAAACAACACAATGTAACTCCAAGTCAATCAAACTTCTGTGAAATCAAACTGTCCACTTAGGAAGCAACACTGATTGACAATACATTTCACATGCTGTTGTGCAAATGGAATGGACAACAGGTGGAAATTATAGGCAATTAGCAAGACACCCCCAATAAAGAAGTGATTCTGCAGTTGGTGACCACAGACCACTTCTCAGTTCTTATGCTTCCTGGCTGATGTTTTGGTCACTTTTGAATGCTGGCGGTGCTTTCACTCTAGTGGTAGCATGAGACGGAGTCTACAACCCACACAAGTGGCTCAGGTAGTGCAGCTCACCCAGGATGGCACATCAATGCGAGCTGTGGCAAGAAGGTTTGCTTTGTCTGTTAGCGTAGTGTCCAGAGCATGGAGGCGCTACCAGGAGACAGGCCAGTACATCAGGAGACGTGGAGGAGGCCGTAGGAGGGCAACAACCCAGCAGCAGGACCGCTACCTCCGCCTTTGTGCAAGGAGGAGCAGGAAGAGCACTGCCAGAGCCCTGCAAAATGACCTCCGGAAGGCCACAAATGTGCATGTGTCTGCTCAAACGGTCAGAAACAGACACCATGAGGGTGGTATGAGGGCCCGACGTCCACAGGTGGGGGTTGTGCTTACAGCCCAACACCATGCAGGACGTTTGGCATTTGCCAGAGAACACCAATATTGGCAAATTCGCCACTGGCGCCCTGTGCTCTTCACAGATGAAAGCAGGTTCACACTGAGCACTTGACAGACGTGACAGAGTCTGGAGACGCCGTGGAGAACGTTCTGCTGCCTGCAACATCCTCCAGCATGACCGGTTTGGTGGTGGGTCAGTCATGGTGTGGGGTGGCATTTCTTTGGGGGGCCGCACAGCCCTCCATGTGCTCGCCAGAGGTAGCCTGACTGCCATTAGGTACCGAGATGAGATCCTCAGACCCCTTGTGAGACCATATGCTGGTGCGGTTGGCCCTGGGTTCCTCCTAATGCAAGACAATGCTAGACCTCATGTGGCTGGAGTGTGTCAGCAATTCCTGCAAGAGGAAGGCATTGATGCTATGGACTGGCCCGCCCGTTCCCCAGACCTGAATCCAATTGAGCACATCTGGGACATCATGTCTCGCTCCATCCTACAACGCCACGTTGCACCACAGACTATCCAAGGGTTGGCGGATGCTTTAGTCCAGGTCTGGGAGGAGATCCCTCAGGAGACCATCCGCCACCTCATCAGGAGCATGCCCAGGCGTTGTAGGGAGGTCATACAGGCACGTGGAGACCACACACACTACTGAGCCTCATTTTGACTTGTTTTAAGGTGTGGTTTTCCACTTTAATTTTGAGGGTGACTCCAAATCCAGACCTCCATGGGTTGATAAATTTGATTTCCATTGATCATTTTTGTGTGATTTTGTTGTCAGCACATTCAACTATGTAAAGTATTTAATAAGATTATTTCATTCATTCAGATCTAGGATGTGTTGTTTAAGTGTTCCCTTTATTTTTTTGAGCAGTGTACTAGCACAGAGCTTGGACACCCATGCATACCCCACAAGACATGCCACCAGAGGTCTCTTCACAGTCCCCAAGTCCAGAACAGACTATGGGAGGTGCACAGTACTACATAAAGTGGCTTGTGAAAGTATTCACCCCCCTTGGCATTTTTCCTATTTTGTTGCCTTATGTTATGATGAGTTTATAGTATTGAGAAGTTCAGGATGCAAGAGAGTATGTTACACAGATGGAGATTTGATTCAGTCATTATTTAATGGTTACAATGTTTGATTCGATGACAGGCTGCACGTGCTTTGCCTCTTGCCATCTAAATGACTTCCATAGACAATCTCTCAGCTTATATACTGCTCTTCCAACCTACTTTTATCTTATCCAGTTGCTAACCATTATTGATTGTCACTCATCCACCACCATATAATCTACCTCCTTGGTGTAGTGTGGCACCCTAGCCAGGCGATTCCATCACACACCCATCCTAAGATTAGCACCAGTGGCCCCCGATCTATCTTGGCACACTGACCTCTATTACTCACTCGTGACACCACTAACACATGGTGTGTCCTTGTCCTGTGTCCACATACAGCTTATGAGTTGCACATACATTAATTGTATCACAAATCATCATAACAATCCCCCATTTCCTTTCTTTTTGTTGTTGCAAGAAGAATTCCATTACTTAAATCAAACAATTCAAAACATACAAATGAATTCCTAGAAAATACATTGATTCATGTGGTCCTCTGTAGCTCAATTGGTAGAGC